AAAGATGTGATGTAATAAAATGGGAAAGAGCTTACACGCCAATCTTCCTCAGTGAACTGGTGAGGAAGAGAGGCGTGTGCGGAGTGTGTGATCTAATCTAGATGTGATATAGTGATGAGATTTAGTTAGGTTAGAAATCTTGATGAATTAGGTCTGAGTTTGAAGAATTAAGTTTTGTATTCAATTATAATTGAGTTTGATTTAATGTAGTTTGAGTTGAAGATAAGATAATTTGATATGATGTAGTTTGAGTTGGAAATAACATAGTTTGATGTGTTTGAAACTATACTTTGTATTCCAACACACCCCCTCAAGCACATCAAACAGAATAAGCGAAAGAAATGAATCATAGTGATAGCTGTTGGATGATTAGGCAAAACCTAAAGTTTCTTTCTATGGCGGTGACTCTTAAGCGTAAGAGCAGGTGTGAGAGGTAGATAAATAGGCGAGTGGTTTTGTATACGATCAGCATTTGATAGTTTAAGTGGAGAAGACGAATTATGTCTAGGTGGGACCCCATGTGCCATTTGAATCATAATTTCATATAAGTAAAGTGATTGTTGTTGAGACTGCATGATATGTACATTAAGAGCTTCATTGGGTTTATCATAACAATCCCACACTACCCACTCATGTTCTCCTAATATATTCAAATGGTTTGAAACCAAGTTGTTCATATCTTCCCAAAACCCAATAAATTTCCATGAAACTAAAAGTCTGGCTAGATCACCATTCAACCAAGGACATTCATCAAAAATTACATTTAAAATTGAATGAAACTCCATTGGAGTCTTGATTCTTAATTTACTTGAATCAATGAATTTCCAGCTTAATTTATTCAAATATTTGGATAAAACAGGAGAAAACAATGGATCATTCCAGAGTGGTTTACTTGAAGGATTTTTCCATAAGATTGACTGTGATCAAAGTTTAGTTTGATCCGATGAAAGGTACAAAAAAACTTCAGTTAAGAATAATGATCGTAATGTGATTATTTGCTTTTCTGAGATAGGTGAAAGATTTGGACGCCAATATAGATGATGAAGTCTAGTTTGATATAATCCAAGGATCATTGGTTTCAAAAATTCCAAAGGTAAATTTTTACCAAAACTATAACGATTGTCATGACAAGGTAAATTGAAACCGGGTCCAATTGAAATTATTCTGGATGCTAAACCCAAGGTCCCAAAGTAATCTCTTTGTGGAGATGGAAATGATTTTGCGAGTTTGTAAGTATGATTTAGATATTTTGATGATAAGCATTGGGTTGATAGTTGAGCTGGATCTTGTGGTAGTAATTTAGATATCCAACCCGCCTTATGAACTATTTCTACATGATTTTTGATCATTGATTTAAAGAAGAAGATTGACATGATGATTATTAGGATGGATCTTAATCGATAAGTGATAAAATGAATTTTTGATATTGAGAATTCATTTTTGAGATATGATGATAAATTTGTTACTAGTTCTTGATTATTACCATTAGTTCGAGACTCAAATGAATTTACACCGATCAAAGTAAGTAATCCAGCCAAAAGGACTGAATAATTGATTGGTATATGAAGTTTTGTTGCTGTTTTGGATGATGATGATGATGCCAAATTTAACAAGATGACCAATGATTTTGATAAGAAGTGTAAATTTCTTTCAGGTGAGGTTGAAGTTGATTCCAAATGAAATGGTCTTGGAGATTGATTGATTTGGGATGGTGATTGAGATGATTGACAATCAAGAGTTGAAGTTAAATGTAGTTCATCTTGTTCTTGTTGTTTGATTGCATTTTTGAATGATAAATCGAATTGAACATCAAAATAATCGAAACATTGAAAAACTAATGAACAGAGTGGTAATCCCAAGAAAATCAAAAACAATGTTCTAAATGGTAATGGAAAGGTTAATGCAGATGAATCGGATTGATGATATTCAATAGATTCTGTTGATGATGATAAGATATTTGACTTTGGTGAGTTGATTTGATGATTTGATTTTAAATTCTTTGTATGGTGATTTTGATTAAGTTCATCCGTGGCAGTATTATTAGATTCAATCAAATAATGTTCT